TAAGCGAACAAGCTAACAGACATTGGGAAGCGTATATATATATATATATATATATATATACTCAATTTAGATACATAAAAGCGAACGGGCTTATGTTATTTTGAACTGTCAATTAGTGCATTATAAAAAAGACAGTATTAATTACAGTTTGAATGTGTCTGAGCTTAAAAATAGTCTCCAACAACTAGTTCAATGAAATTATGTGAATACCCCTAGCTTAAGCGAACATTAAGTATACGTAAGGCACTTACGTTTATCAGATAAATAAGCTTGAAATAACATCTACAACTACCGGAAAAACAGAGGAAAAAGGAATTCCTCAGCACACAATTTACCACCTAATAATATTAATAGTCTTATGAATAGCTCACTTAAAAATTAAAAACCACCAAAAGAAAAGAATTTACTTACACAACTTGAACCCTTTATCACCTACTAGCACCCCGATCTCCTTCAGTCAACACTTTTAGTCATATTTTTTCTCTTCATGCTCAAACGCGCCGCTAAAGAGTCGAAGTAATAATACTCAAATAAAACATTTACAGGCGCAGACGGCGAAAAACTGCAAATGACATACCCTGTTGTGATGCAGAAGAGATGGGTTGAAGGGGTGAAGCGGTGCTGCGGTGGGGCTGCTGTTGTTGTTGTTGTTGTGTCCACAAAACAGCGTCGAGTTGAGTGAGTCAAGTGGAAAGTAAAGTGAATGGGACGAGAGGCAGGTTGAGGCGGTTGGTAGTCGCACCCAAGTGCACTTCATTTCGTTTCCCCTCATAAATTCAAACCGAAAAATTCGCTAACGGCTGCACAGCAGGGGCAAAGCATGAAGTGCACTTGGAAACAAGCTGCCTACAGTGGCACAGCACACACACAACACACACACAGATGCACTCTGTGGATTAGTTGTAGTTACTACGGTTAAAGCTGTCTATGGGTCTTGGGTATTTCGAGCAGGTGGCTGTGTGTCTGGTAGGAAATTTAGTTGCCTCAACAAAACCGCAAATGCGACAAAAGCAGAATGCAATTCGCACTTGAAACTGAAAAGCAACAGAAACAAAAAACAGAAAAAAACAGCAAAAACAACAACAACAATAAAGCGCATTGTGGTTAAAACAAAAACTTTGCCGGCAACTTCAGCGCCACGCGGCAGCTGCTGTCTTTTTTTTTTTCAAGAGGTTTTTCCCAATTTGCTGCAGAAAATGAAAATTTAAATTTTTAAGCAACGCAAACGTCGACAAACGAAGGCTGCCAAAAGTTGTTCAGCAGTTTTTTTTTTTGTATTTTTTGCTCTGCTGCAGCTGAAAAATTTCACACATTTCCCACAGCGCATTGCCGTGTGCTCTTCCAAATGCTCCATTTGGCTGCCATTTGCTTCGTTTTTTGTTTTTGTGCATCTTTTCATCAAGCAAGCCTCGACTCGCTGCCATTTCGCAATTTTGTCAACGCGCATACAACATTTTTTCTATAGCAATTCCTGTTGAGGCTTGCCGCACGCGCTGATGAATGGCATGGGCGAGGTGCTAGTTACACTGCTTTCCAGTTTTCGCACTCGTTTCAATTTTATACATATAATGAAAGACAGGAATGTGTTCTCGTTTTGTTTTGACTGCCCAAAGGAGCCGGGGCAATCATCAACACTGGCCAAAGAATGCACATCCCGGCACACGAACACTCACACAGCTGCAGCTCCCTGCTGGGTTGCATGCAACAAATGCCTCAAGTGCATAACGGCTGCCAGGCACGGCGGCCATTGGGGTCTGTCAGCCTGGCATAAATCACTGCATTTGCTTGTTGGCCCACCCAACATTCGTCCGGCTGCGTGTGCTGCTCCTGCTGTGTGGTCTGCCCTCCACCCTATGGCTAATCTGTGGCTGTGGCTGCCAGCCCTAAGCTCGCCCCCCCTCCATTTGTCCATCTGGCTTGGCTGGCAAATGCAGCTTTCTACGCTTTTGTTTGCCTTTGCATGCACTCTATACTTTCACTGCTCTACGCCCCGCTCGGCACGCTTTATGTTTGCCTCACACTTGGCTCAATTAAAAAATAGCTTTCGTTTCGTAGGCCAGCTGGCTTGGTAGGCAACTGTTTCCTTTGGCAATTATTTTGTTCTCGTTCAAAGGTATTTTTAATTGCCTTTCTACACGAAATGCAGCAATTTTGCTTGTGTATTGTGTTGATTTTCACACCTATATAAATATGCAAAGTTTTCCTAGCCCTCTTTCTTGTTTTTGGGTCAGTCTTGTTCAGCAGACAAAAATATTGTAAAATCAATGCCGGCCATGTTGTTAGCCCTTGTTTCTAGATAATATTAATGGTAACTGATTTACATAGTGCATAGCACAATTACGTCCAAATGCAGCCGGGCTTATTATATGAAAAAGTTGTGCAGCTCCACTCCGCTGACTTTTGCTTTCGCCATCAGCTGAAAAGCAACTGAAACCAATGACAGAATTTCTACTTCACTTTCGCTGTTTACTTTCGCACTCGAAATCCAAAAACTTCGTGAATTTTCACGAACAAAAGTTTAGAGTCGGCATTCGGAAACGAGCGAAAAATAACTCGCTCTGAGGCAAGTCAATGCGCACGCGCAGGAAAATTCTTTTAAAAACCGCTTAAGGTAAGATTATTGAGAGTTTCAAGCAAATTTTATAAGAGTTGTAAGACTTGAATAAAGTTGCACCAATGCTTGTTACATTAAATACAAAAGATATGCTTAGAAGCAGAAGGAAAGAAGAATGCTAGCACAAAAAATATTAATTTTAAAAATATAAAAAATAAAATTTAAAATTATTGTCATAACAAAATCTTGACTCAATTATGTATGCTTTTTTGCTCCAGTTTCCATTACAGATATGTACATATATTTACTGTGGTACTTAACAATCAAAATCCAAAAATCGCCACAAGCAAATATTTTAGGGGCAGACAAAACTGTAAATAAATCGAATGCGAAAATTCGGATAAAAACAGGCAGCCCAATGTGATTTTGCCAAAACTTGTGGGTATTGAAACTGACACACAAAAAATGAGGGGAAATTGTAAAAGGGCTTAGTAAAAATGCAAATTCAGCATAACAAACGAGAGCAAACAGAGATTCATTGGATTTTAATTAACAGATGTGGCCAAGGCATGAGAAAAAAAAAGGATATGGAACTATGTAATGCAGGCGAATGCACAGTCTGGACATTATGCAGCCCGTTTGCTGTATAGAATGTTGCTTTGATTTTGTTATACCTTTTGCTTTATTTCGTATTTCGGTGTAATTTTTTTATGCTCGCAGCGTACACAGCTTGATTTGTGGCGCTTTGTCTTAGCGTAGATCTCCCAAACGCCCCTCAGCCGGAAGCGTGAAGGTTGCCACATGTATCAACCGCTCACGTAAGCCGTGCGAAACATACAATCCAAGCCAGGGCTAGGCGATTCTCGTCAGCGCAACACGCACACGGACGAGGTCAATTTCATGCAGCACACAGCACAACAACAACAACAACAACAACAACAATGACAACTTCTGCTGGTTGGGTGCATGTTGGACACGTACGCCTTTGCTCGCTCGCTGCTTTTCTTTTGATGCGGCACGACAGGTGCTCAGCTGTAACTAAACGTCCTTTCCAGCTTCACCACCTGGCCTCCGTTCAAGTCTAGTCTCGTTGTGTGTGTGTGTGTGTGTCACATATATGCCAGGTCTTGCACACATCAGGGACATGGCAGGCAGCTGTTAGACGGTCACGTCTGCCCAGCTCGTAATTGATAGTTCAATCTGTTGCAGATCAAACGCTTGACAGCAGCCAACAGATCAAGCTGAAAAATTGCCTTCATGGGGCTATCTGGATTGGTCATCATACTTATTGGTTATTATTACCAATCATTTTCGTTATATTTAGTGGAGTTCTAATTAAAGCTAAGCGTTGGAAAACAAATCTTTGCGAAATCCATTTGCGAAACACCTAACGAAATACCAAGTGAATTTCTATTTCTGGCGAAAATCTATTTAATTTTCAGTATTTTCTTTTCTACAAATTTCAATAATTTTCCCACACAGTCGCTGCACGTTCGTTGTGGCAGCGTCGTGCAACGTTCTTTACAAAACATTAGGTACTTTTGCAGGGCGAAAATAAATCGGTAAATAGATTTATGCTTTTAAGTTATTTGTCGTTGAAATGCTGTTGCACTTTTCTGTTTCTTTTGCTGTGAAAAATAATAACCGAAAGTCTTTTTATTGGTAGCCGAGTTTGCTGCCAATTTTGTTTACTGCTCATGTTTTGTCGCTTTATTTTAATGGCTGGCGCGTTGAAATCCTGGCTTCATTTATGTTTATGCTCGCATTTTTTATTTGTGCAATTCAAGCGTCGAGTGGCTCTCATAAATTCTGAATGTTGAGAGGTCACGTTGTCTCATTAAAACAACAACAGCAATAAGTGTAATAACACCAGCAATAAGCAGCACACGCACACACACACGTGTCAACACACAGCACTTGGCATAAAATCGTTTACCTTTAAGAGGAACAATAACAAGTTGTGCATTTTTTAAAATCTTTAAGCAAACGAAGCCCTGCTTTCATTTGTAAAAAAAAAGATCTGCACGCTAATATGTAGATAATATTGTAATTTTAAGTTTTACCCCTTGCAAGTGAGAAACAAACATATTTATCAAGCTTATTTTGGACTGTGACTAAACAAAGGAAACACTCAATGGCTTTCTAAGATATGAGAACTATCAACACGTGTCAATATTATTTCCCTCTTATTATCTACCATTGACTAGAGAGTTCTGAGAACAGACTAAAATGCAGCAAATGCCTTTGCTTATGTATATGTTTCTATTGATAAGAAGTAAATCATCTCTCATTGATTTACTCGAGCCTCATTATCAATCAAAATAATAATTAAAATATACTTTTAAATAATATCTTATCAGTTCATGAACAACTTTATCTCCTAGGAAGTTTATATGGTAAATGGCTTTGCCCAAGTAGGTTTAGTCTCAAACTGATCGTTAAACAGTGAATATATAAGACAACAACTATAAGGAAAATAAAAAATAGTTTGCTAATAATTGGAGATCAAACCAAAACAAAAATAAAACATAATGAAAGGTAAACTTAATTTTGTCTATTGTGAATTTACTATGAAGATTTATATTATAGTGCTTATCACAATTCTTACTATACTTGTGTTTTTTTTTTTCCAGCCCATGCTTGGGACTGGCTGCCAGTGCTTTTCGTATTGGTAGCAGCTTGTTTGGCCCTGCGCGGCGAGCCAAGGCACGAAACTTGCAACAATGAGAAGAGATATGAGAACCAGGTCATGTGCGCGGGCGTACAGTTTGGCTATCGGGCGCCCTATCCCGATAATTGCAGCTTGTATTTAGTTTGCGATTGCGAATATCCCACCGTGCTGCCATGCCCCGGCCAACTGTGGTGGAACAATGACACGCAAAACTGTGACTGGCCACAAAACACGAAATGCATTTACTATAACATCGATACAACGCCCAAGACAACAAAAGCGACCACAGCTGCCACTCCGCCATCCACAACACCCATGACAAGCACAACAGATCAAAATTGGCCGACAAGCAGTTATGATCCGCCACCGCCACCACCGGGCATTCCTTTTACATTCTGTAGGAATTTACCCGACGGTTCGGTGCATCGTTATCCGTACGATTGCAATGCCTATATTAACTGTACCCACGGCTATCCAGTCTTAAACTATTGTGAGCCCGATAAGGTCTTCAATCAGGTGCTGCTCATTTGCGATACGCCCGAAACTGCCGACTGTGAGCCACTGCCATTGCCGCCAATAACAACCGAGCACCCAACAGAAACAACAACCGCAGAGCCAACAACAGCCACTGAAGATGTGGAGTGTGGTGCTCCGCCGTTTGGCATTGAAGAGGATTACTGTGTACCATTGGGCAATGGCTTCTACGAATACCCCTACGATTGCAGCGCCTACATCAGCTGTCGCCAGGGCTGCACGTACAAGGACTTCTGCATACCTGATAAACTCTTTAATCCAATTTTGCATATATGCGACACGCCCAATTCGGTGCACTGCAATCCTAAGCCGTATCCAACAACAACTATAGCCACAACGCCTGGATCCACAGAAGACCCGAGCACTTCGACCAATGGAGGAGAAAGCGTAACGCCTGACAGCAGCACCACAACCACCACAGTAGCAACGACAACAACACCAGCCTTGCCAGCCGATGTGGATCCCGATCTCTGTGTGGGATTGCCCGATTACACACGCTTCCCCTATGCAGCCGATTGCTCTCAGTTCCTGCAGTGCAGCAATAATCAAGTGATAGTGGGTCAGTGTGCCGAGCCGCTGCTCTTCAATCCCGATTTTCTCATTTGCGATAGCGCGGATGACGTTATCTGCTATGGTGATCGCACGACAACCACAAGCACAACAAGCACCACGGAAGCGCCCACAACGACAACTAGCAGTACAACGGTAACGACCACGCCCACCACAACACCCGGACCAGACAAGCTATGTGCAAATGAACCATTTTACACTACATTCCCGTATGTGCAGGATTGCACATCGTACATCCTATGCCTGGGCGATGGCGAATACTATATTGCAAAATGCATTAGTAATACGTACTATGATCCTAAAACTGGCGATTGTGGAGCAAATGTGTTACCGACAGCTTGCAGGGAGCAGGACACAACTACAACAAGAACAACCGAGGCCACGACGGAAAAAACAACAACGGAAGTTGTCACCAGCATTTCGACACCCACCACAAGCGTGGCAACAACAACAAGCCCAACTCCTGGGCAACCCGGCGGCATATGCGGCAGCAGGGATGAGGGCGAGCTGATTGCCTATCCAAATGACTGCAGCAAGTACATTGTCTGTGTGACGCCAATTCCGGTTGCCTTCTACTGCAGGCCCGGTTCCTACTTTAGCGCCAAGCAGCAACAGTGTGTGAGCTGGGAGGACAGCGATTGCGACAAGGACACGGCTACGACACCTGGTTACACAGGGCCGCCATTGGAGCCGACAATGTGCACGAACAGCAGTCGGGATACGTTCCCCTATCCCGAGAACTGTCAGTGGTTCATACGCTGTGTGAACGATTACATCTACATGATGGATGTGTGTAACTGTGGCGAATACTACGATCCGATAAACGGCAAATGCGGTGCGGACGTGCCATCCGATGCCTGTCGCTGGGACTATACTTCAACAACAACTGAGGCAACGCCAACACCTACAACGACAGAGCCAACACCTGTGACGCGGCCACCGCCGCAAGAGGGTCCCTGCGATGATGCAGCTGATGGCGAACTGGTGCCCTATCCCGACGACTGCTCCAAGTACATCAAATGCGATCGCCCAATAGCCGCGGCATATGATTGCGCTGATGGCGATGAGTTTAGCCCCGTGTTGCGCGAATGTATGGAGGCTTCGCTCGCCAATTGCACAGTTGGCACAACGCCAGGTCATACGGAATCAACAACGGGCCCAACTACACCCAGCTGGCCAGGTTCAACCACGGGCAGTGACACGACAACCGACTCAACTAGCAATCCAGCCTCAACAACAACTCCCGAAATTTCCACAACTTCTGAGACTTCCACAACACCTGAGACAAGTGAGCCCAGCAGCAGCACAACCCCTGAAACAACAACAACCCAAAGGACTACAACGCCAGCACCCTCTGGTGGTATTTGCAGCGGAAAGCCCAATGGAACTCTAGTGCCTTATCCAAACAATTGCGGCAAGTATATTGTTTGCCAAGAGCCTATACCCATTGGCTATGACTGCCCCGAGAATTTGGAGTTTAGTCCCACAGAATTGGAGTGTATGGATCCGGAATTGGCCAATTGTGAACCCAGACCAACAACGGCGACAACAACAGCGCCCACAACAACAGAATGGACAACGACCCCTTCATGCGACACATCACCCAACACGACTCCAACAACTCCTACGACCACAACTACGCCAGATACCACAGCCTCGACAACACCCGAGACTAGCGAAACGGATTCTACGAGTACAACTCCTGCAACCACAACGATTCATCCAGATACACCCAACATATGCTGTGGTCATCCTCTAGGTACAATTTTGCCCTATCCTAACGATTGTAATCGTTATGTTGTCTGTGACTATCCGATTCCCTACGCTGTCGTGTGTGAAGAGGGAACAGTGTTCGATGTAGAGTATCTGCAGTGCACAACCAACGGCAAAGGATCTTGCATTTAAAAAATAAAGCATTAGAAACCACGAATTCAATGCTCAAATCAAAAAGTTCCTTTTTTTGAAAATTGTATTTATATTTGAAGTATCAATAAAAATAAAGAAAGCACATGAATATCTAACAAGGTGTGACTCTTTCCCACTTGCGAAATCAATTGCCTAAATGCACAAATGCAAATCCATTTCAGACGCTTTAACAGCAACTTTTAGGGCCTCTGAGAGCTACTCGAAGTGGTATCAATTACACGTAAACCCTTTTTAAAAGCATTGCCATTACAAATCCCACACAAGTAAAAAGATAATTTGCCACTTAATATCGAATCCCAACGGCAAGTCGCCAAGAAACGGGCGCGCGACAAACAGGAAGCCCCACAACACGAGCGAGCACAAGCCAGGACATTTTTAGCAACAGGCTAACAACAAAATTGTATTCGTATTGGATAATATCAGTTACAAGTTTCAGCAATTTATCGTTGCTTGATTTTGCCAGTCGTCCTCCCTCACTAAACCTTGTCGTTCCCCAGTCCACATCCTTACCTAATCAGATTTCAAGTTTGGTCACATGTAGCACAATTGGCTAAGGAATTATATTTGGGGTGGGCAAATACAGTGTACTTTGTTGCTATTCCGTCTGTGTGTGTGTGTGTGTCTAGAGAGAAAAAAAAATAGAAGCACGACTAGAAATGTTGTGTGACAACAACAGGGAGACAAATAAACACATTTGAAGCAAATTGTTTGGCAATAATGTTAACCTAATGCGTTCCATTTGTCGCAATTCAAACGATAGACACGCATTGCGATTCAAGTGATTTGTTAGTTCCCCAGGGAGTAGAGAAGGAATCGCAGCCCTATCAAAATGAGCTTGTACTATAAACCTGATATCATACATATATATTCGTAATCCACTGAAAATCATTTACCAATTTGGCAGTCAGAGAGCATCCTTCATAGTTCGCAGTAAAAAAACAATTTAGTCGAACATTTATTTTGCTTGATTTGAAACGAAGCCAAGTTTAAAGTGCTGCCAAAGCTGTTGCCCGAAATTGGGCGAAGAGCCAAACTCATAAAGCACGCCCATAAATGTCACACTTGGCGTATGCTTAATATGAACATAAACAAGATAAAAGAGTTTGCTATAAAAACATTAAATACCACTTCACTTAAATGAATCTCCTACAAATTTCGTGACAATTTCCAATACTCTCTAACAACACAAATTAATTATAAGCAACTATTTCATAACTTTGTACTAATCCTGATGAAATTCATATATATGGCATCAGAAATTCATTTAGTCAGTTTGACAGTCTTGCAAAACTCTAGCAAATTTCAGTTACTAAAAGTTTAGTCAGCGTACAATTAGCGAATTGGAATGATATGTTGGTATTTTATGACTACGACAGACTACCCCACAGCCAGTACGCAGAGCAGCATTACTATAAAACATTTGCTGTGCATATTAATGTGCAATTCCATTCATTTATGGAAAATATATTTTATGCTACCCGCGAGAATTCGCCGTGTTTCGCAACAGATAGACAGAATCAGAGCAACACACATACAACAATATAGGCACACGCAACACGCACACACATGAATAGTTAAGCTTTAAACCCTTTTGCACATAAAATATTGAATATATAAGTTGGTCTATAAAAATGCCTGACTAAAACTGGCAGTTTGCAATAATATTTGCATTTAAACAAATTCCGTACAAATATTTAGAAATAACTACAACAAAACTGTAAGCAAATCAAAAACAAGGGGCTTATGAATTTATAAAAATTGAATCATATGGACTGTTAGGAATTGCATATTCAAATTGTATATCGATCGATGGCATAGCAAAGCTCAAAGTTCCAATTGGATAGCTCGATGTGTTTGCTTTAGCTCGTATTCATTTGATTCTTAAACAAATTTTGTTGTGTGAGTGTGATTTGATTTTTCTTAGCTTGATAAATTTGATTTTATTTCATTTGAGAGTGCAAGTTAAATTGCGAAATATATTTTGCACATTTCCTTTACTCTTCTTCACCAATTGGCTCCTCCTCCTCGACAACACCCTCGTAATCTTCATCGCTACCTTCTAAATCAAATTCTTCAGGCAGATTATCATACTCGGGAACTCCGCGCCACACACCGTTCCAGCCAGGGTACCAGCCAGGATTCCAGCCAGGATTCCAGCCAGGATTTACACCCTGGTGCCTATGCGGATCAGCATTTGCATTCGCAATGGAGTTTGAAATGCCTGAAACGATCACCGAATTGTTGCCGAATCGAACCGTCGAATTTGTCTGCTGTGCCAGCTGATGGGCCAACTGGGACAGAGCAGTAGTCAGTGCCGCCATGTTAACAGGATAATAGTTGGGTACGAATTGTGGCGCCGCCAGGGTGTAGGCGAATATGCTGCCCAGAAGCAGGGTTACAACTGACACGATATGCATGGCTGGTCACTGGCGCTGCTTGAACAAGTCGTAAGTAACTGTGCTTGCCGTCAGCCCCAACTGAGTTTTTATACAAAAAGGCACACAAGATCTTACCACACTTTGATCTAGCAATTGTACAAATTGTAACTAGGTTAAAGAATCTTTCTAAATTAAAACAAAAAACGTTTCAACGTCGTCAAATATTTAACTATCGACTTGGGCTCAAGTCGAGTCGCATCAAGGTGACAGCTGCTCTTAAGCAAATACTGTCTTTTGGGCCTATCGAATGAGCCCCATTTTAGCATTCATTACATCACACCACCTCTTACAACATTTCTCAAGCTTAATTTAAATGTTTGCTTAGCAAACAAGTGTAAATGGTAGAGTCGGAATTGTGGCTGTTACTTGTCTACATCGATTTGCGGTGCAGCGCACAAGATATACAAAATTGAAAAGAACTTCATTAGTCTGAGGTAGAGAAACGGTAGAGTGTCTATTTTGTTTTACCCCCGCAAACTCACAAACTTGAAACTTGAAGTCCCTAGGCAACATCTTCTTTGATAGAACGAATTGTAAGCAAAAGGAGAATATGCAAGTATTTTAAGCGGGCATCATAATCCACATAAGATCAATATAATTAGCTACCTAAAAATGTAATATGGATCCATTGTTTGTTCTTCACACAGTAAGGTTACGCTAGACTCCAACTGTTAGGTACATAAATAGTTGGATATAGTTTGTGAGCTCCTACTCTGTAAAGAGTTTATGCTTGCAAGCAGGCCATTCATAATAAGTTAGTTTTCTTGATTATCAAATGAGCTGCGGAATTTGGCTTCAACATAACCCTTAATAAACAAAGTTTGAAGCATCCAAAACTTTGATTGTAAATTCAGTCACAAGCTATAGAAAAATGACATTTGCTCAGTTGAGCAAAAATCCATCCACTTATCATCAACAGCAAAGTGTATAAAACCGGAGCGATTACAAGCGGTAATAACACGATCCGGTCATATAAAAAAACGCTCACAAATTTAATGTCGCTAAGCGAAACGCTTAGGTTTTTATGTTGGGGATACACAGTCACATCACATATAACAAGTCGGGCAACAATATTCATAAAGGCGCGCATCAACATTATTTTGTCGGGGGCAGCGACAGGGGCGGCGGTAGGGGCTGGGGTTGATTGTGTGGGGTGTCATGTAAACAAGTCAACAACAAATTATGAGTCACGCAACAAAATTTGATGTACTGTGCACGTTGATTGAAGATTGTTGGGCCCGAGTTGAACGTTGCGTATACGCAACGTGTGCAACAGCAAACAAAAATAAAATAAAAGAAAAAGAAAAAAGTTGTATCTTAATTAAATAGCGAGTTGAATATAACGAAACGACATTTTTAATTAAATGAGAGATGCAAATGAAAATTTGCCACTGGTGTTTTTTTTTCTCCAGGTTTTTCCCGTTTTTCCTGTTTACCTGCGGCCGCAGACATTTTCGCATTTACAATTTCTTTGTAATTTGACTTTTTGCCCTGCTCAAGCGGCAGCCGAATGGAAGTGGCAAAAGTGAAAGTGGATATAAAATTAATTAACCGCTGCCAAATGTACTCGTGCATGTTGCATGTGATGAGATTTCTATTAATTTGGGAGCTCGTTTCAATTGGAGGCGAATCATTGAACAGAACTGTTTGCGCACGCTTTTCAGTTGATTTAATTAAACTTTTTGCGCCTTTCATTGATTTGTCGCCTAACCTGAGAAATCGACAATTCCTTTCATTTATTATGTGCGCCGAAAATTGCGATTTAAAACTGCAAGCGAGAGAAACTTTACGAATTGCAAATTTTGTTGTTTTGCAAACAGCCCGCAATTGCCTAGTCGCTGTTTTCATAACCCAAACTTCAACTTGCAACTTCTGGCTTGAGGGGAAAGTTTTTACCATGACATGTGCAAGACTTACACACACACACACACACTGACAGTCGCGACTCGTGTGACTCATGACTTGTGTGTTTATTTAATATCTATGCTCGTAAAATAAATTAAATATTCATATTCCGTTTATTTACTTAGGCAAATTGAGTTTCCACAGTTGACATGCTGAATACGCAAAAAACTCCACACTCTGAGGTTGCGGAGAGCGGAAAGAAGACAGCCCCAAACAGGCAGTCAAATGCGCGAGGACTTCAAGTTATCACAGAGTCATCTGATAGATGGCAACTAGAGGGGGGTTTGGCAGGCGTTGTAAACAGGAAACGAATGTCTGTTGCATGCACAAGTGACAAATGTCATGAAATATTCAATTGCCCAACATCAGCAGAGCCCGCTCTGGCAAAAGAAGCTACAGCTTTGAATATTTTTGGGCAACCACTTCAAAGCGTAAAAGTTTTACAAATTTGCAAAAATAAATATATATATGTGTGCATGTATGTACTAAAGTGAAATTACCATTAATCATTATCACCGACTTATACACTTCAATTAGCTGAATTGAGGTATTATGCAAGTAGGTAGTATGCAAGTTTTTGCATATAAAATGCGTATCTATTGAAAATTTGCTTGATAGAAACTCGCTTTTGAGATCTGTTTCCTGCAGAAAGAATTCGGAGATAGGAGTATGAACTGTTCTGGTATATATTAGAGAAAATTAACCGATGTCGCCCAGATCAAATAAATAAAGTTGAATCGAA